AGCCGTTTTCATGTGGGAACTGTGGAAAAAGTTTTTGTCAAAAAGTTAATTTAACTCACCACATGAGGATTCACACTGGTGAAAAGCCGTTTTCATGTGGGAACTGTGGAAAAAGTTTTAATCAAAAACACAGTTTAATTGATCACATGATAATTCACACTGGTGAAAAGCCGTTTTCATGTGCGTCCTGTGGAAAAAGTTTTAGTCGAAAACGGAATTTAACTGAACATATGATGATTCACACCAGTGAAAAGCTGTTTTCATGTGTAAACTGTGGAAAAAGTTTTAATCAAAAACAAGGTTTAACTCAGCACATGAGTATTCACAGCAGTGAAAAGCCATTTTCATGTGGGACCTGTGGAAAATGTTTTAGTCGAAAACGGGTTTTATCTGGTCACATGATGATTCACACTGGTGAAAAGCCGTTTTTATGTGTAACCTGTGGAAAATGTTTTAGTCTAAAACGAATTTTAACTGAACACCTGATGATTCACACTGGTGAAAAGCCGTTTTTATGTGTGAGCTGTGGAAAACGTTTTCGTCACAAAGTTAGTTTAACTCAGCACATGAGGCATCACACTGGTGAAAAGTCGTAGAAGTGTTTTCAATGTGTGTCCTATGATGAGTTTCACTATAAAATTGATTTGGTGATAAGAATAGAGCTGAAACAATTCGAGTTATTCGAGTACCTTGATTATTAAAATTCCTTAAGGAAAATGTATCTTCCTCAAAGCTTCACTAAGTTATATTTTATTTAGCTCTCAGTGTTCCAGCCGGGTTATAACTTGCATCGTACAGAGCTCTCACTTCCGCCTGAGTTGTTGACGAAAGCTAAGCGTTAGCCGCATAACGTCCAGTTTTCAAGTTCGGCCTGGGAGGATTTTATTGATTGATGATAATGTCCAGGTCTTTGTTGTTTTTCGGGGGACTATTGGAATATTGGCTTAGTTATCCTAGTTTTAATGCTGGTGTTGACTTTGACCGCATGTTTAAATATTAGACAAAATCAACATTGTTTTGAACGGGCCTACATTAAGGTTAAATTTAGATTAATGGTTCAATCAACATAATCTGATTAGTAGAATATTTTTCTTAAACATGCCAGCATGAATTCATTAAAAGTAATCTAATCTGTAGTTTTCTATATTAACTCACAGACCTGGTTAGAATGTAAGACATACATTAATTTGAATATGTGTTGGTTCATTATAATTCAAGAAGTACAAG